CTCCCGCCCGGCGTTGCCGGTGTGAGTGTTTGGAGAGGGAGCGCTGCGGGTGCTGCTGCCAGCGCCGGGGTCCAGTTCTGTCCCCGTAGGGGGACCTGCTGCCAGCCTGGGGAGTGGGGTGGGTGACAGCCGTGCCCTGGCTGGCTCTCTCCTCACCACTGCTGCACTGTGCCAGGGGCTGGGGACCCCACCTCAGCGCCAGGGCAGAGCTCAGCACAGGATGTAGGGCACTCAGGGCAGGGTGGCAGGGAGGGCTCCAAGGGAGCAGACCGGGAGCTGCGGTCACCCCGAGAGCAGGGGCAGGGCAGCTCCGGAGCAGGGCTCTGGCCATCCCCAACGCTGATGGCTGGTGTCCCACCTCCTGAGTGTCCCCAGCACAGGCAGTGATGGAGTTTGAGTGCTGTGTCAGGCCCCCCCCATCCTGTGCCCTCCAGCTGTCACAGGCAGGCTGTCCTGCCTGTCCTGTCCCCTGGCCACCCTGTGGCCCCAGCCACCCTGTAGCCCCCCAGCCACGCTCAGTCCCCCAGCCACCTCTGTCCCCTGGCCATGCTCTGTGCTGGCCCAGAGAGTCCCACTGGCACGTCCCGCTGCCAGAACAGGAATAGCACCTCTGGCCAGAGCCACCTCGGGGTCCGAGCTGCTCACCATCATCACTGTCCATCGTCACTTACACGCTGCGTGGGTCAGCATGGCCACAGGCCAAGGCAGAGACACACAGCACCCCAGCACCCTGTCCACGGTGACAATGCTGCTGTCCCTGCCGTGGAACTGGTCCAGCTGCTGTCCACATGGCATGTCCCCATTTCTGCATCTGCAGGCACTGCCTGGCAAGAGCCACCGGCCCCGGACACCCAAGCCCTCACCCCTCAGGGAGCACAGCACCCTGAAGCACCTCTCCTGCCAGCTGTGCCATCGGGACTGTGTCCTGCCACCTCAAAAGGTTCCAAACCCCATTCTGGGGTTGGTCAGGGAGCCCCACACCTGTCTCAGGGGGGGACGAGGTTGGAGATGGGGGGTCCGGACCCTCACGGGGGGCTGCACAGCATCTGGGGGGACCCCACAGAGAGGCTTCACCTGCTGCGGCCGCGGCAGCAGCACCTGTTTGCAGAGGCATCGCTCAATACGCAGTATGTTCTTCAGAAGATCCCTACTCCAGGAGTCAAAATAGCATGAAATTTAATTTTACGCCTATTTGACAAAGCTAGATTTCACCTCCAATCAGCGGGGAGATAAGAGCCCTCGGCACAAGTGCGCGGCCAGTTTGGCAGCTGGGGCTGCCGATTTAATAGGTGAATTTACAGGAACAACACTTGAAAATCCCCTGGCTAGTGAACCATTAAGGTGAGCCCTGCCTTCCGTCCCCACGTCCCTCCCCGCGCCGCTCTCCCGTTGCTGGGTGCTAAAGTAAACCCCAGCTCTGTTTACCGAGTCTACTATTACAATACAGCTACCAAATATTTGCCAGCCGTCAGCTCACTGCTCCGCTATAAATACTTCAGGCCCAGGTGGAGGGACGGCGAGGGGGAGCAGCGCAGGAGCCTATGCATGGCCGGGCAGCAGCGCCAAGGTGAGTGCTGAGCCGCGGCCTACTGCACCAGGGTGTTTCTCCGGCGGAGGGTGGCAGCGGGGAAGGCTGGCTCCATCCCTGGGGCAGCCCCACGAGGCTGAGTCCCCCACCGCCCGCCCCAGGGCAGCACGGAGGCAGTACTGAGGGTCCTGTGGTGGGGACAGCACAAAGAGGGACGCATGGTGACCCCAGGGATGGCAGCGATGCTGTCTCAGGCTGGGTGCAGGGTCCAGAACTGTGCTTGGCGTGGCAGGAGTAGGATTTGTCCCCCAGGATTTGTTCCCTGCCCCAAGACCCTCTCGGGATTGGGGTGATGGTGGTCCCAGGCACATGGCCAGGGATGCCCTGCAAGCGAGGCAGGGCTGGGTACCCCACTAACTAGAGAGGAGCCTCATGGAGCTCAGCAAGACCCAGCCATGACCAGAGCCCACCAGGGCGGTGCGGGGAGGTGGACAGGTTCGCCCTGTCTCAGGGAAACCTGTGGGACCGTTGCGTGGGGAGGGCTCATGGTCCCGGGGGCTCAGGCAGGGTGGGTGCTGAGTCCGGTTCACCTCCGTGGACAGCCCTGAGGTGAAGGGCTACATCCCACTGCCCCACAGCTCTGGGGGATGTCTCCACTGCCCTACATCCCATGACTTGGTGCAGACATGCCTGCTGTCCCATGTCCCATGGATTAGTGAGGACATCCCTGCTGTCCCACATGCTGTGACTTGGGGATGTTCCCATTGTCCCACATCCCATGGATTCAGGTGGACATCCCTGCTGCCTAACAGATGTCCCTGCTGTCCCACATCCCA